AAAAAACAATTTAATCGAAGTCCGTGCGCCTCCGGCAGACATGGCATGTCCTGCATCATCGCGTCGCAGCAAAATACTTCGAAGCACTAAGCGGCTAACACAGAAAGCTGCTGCGGGTGACAACAAATCAAAGTTCAACAACCGTCTGCACAAGAACAACGCCAACACGCACTCACACTGATTTTTCCTTGCGGCGCTTCCGCTTCAGCAAAACTGCTCGGAAAACCAGCCTAAGCCACCTGCTACATGCAAGGGCCTGGCCATGCTGAATCGGGCTTTCTCAAATCAATCTCTGCTCTTGCCATCAGATGCTCAGCCGCTGGCGCCCTGCAGGGCCTTCAATTTGGCCTGCAGGGACGTCTTTGTACTTGCTATTCTTAGGGTTTAGCGTTTAGGGTTTGAGCCTGACTTATTAATTATTCTAGGGTATTGTAGGTTCAGGGTACTGTGGGGTTTAAGTTTACGGCTTATTGCATCAAACTGGGGGTTAGAACTAGTATAAAGCCGATATATGAAAAAAAATTATCAAAGTTACTTAGTCAGCCTGGAACTGGTCAAGCACACTCTGCGCGGCACCGCTGCTGCCACTGCCACCATCTGCCCCGGCCACGGGGGCGGCTGATCCACCTGCCTGCGTTGACGACGCTGGTGCGTCTGCCAAGATCTCAACCAACTTGCTCTCGTTCACCTTGCTATTGGGGCGGACCATCTCTTTGAGGACTCGGCACACGATGACCTCCTTCACTTTCTGGAGGTGGGTCTCCGTCAAACAGAAGCCGATGTAGGGCAGTCGCTCAACAGCTGCAAGGCTGGCCAACACACCATCTGCAACCTGGCAATCAATCAGGGCCGTCAAGTTGTAGGAGGCCACCATCTCCTGGTAGAAGATCTCGGGCCTTCCGTGCCAAAACACGGGCTCCACGGTGCTGCGTGGCTTGCCGCAGCCACGCTGAGCCGGGGCATCCGGGTCCTCCCCCGGGGTCCTGCCGCCAACAGGCATGCGATACTTGCCATAGATGACGAGCTTCTCCTGCTGCAGTGCGGGGAAATTACAGCTGAAAAAATGAAAACATATTATCAATATTATCTTATTCTACCCAAACTCAGTTAAAAAATAATTTATGGAAGACCCCAAACCCTAAACCCCTTAACCCTAAACCCTGTTCTCCTCAACACTCAGCTGCCACAACTCTCCGGGTGCATCGAGCCTGACTGGGCCAATCACGTTGCCGAAGTTGCTGCCTGCGAAGGAGCGCCGTGGGCGCTGCACCATGCTTGAGGTGAACTCTTCGCCCGTCACGATGGTGAGGTGCTCCACCTGATCCAAGCTGGCCCTCTGTGTCTTGCGTCGCTCACGCAAGGCGTTCTCATCGTAGGCAATGTACACCTTCGTGTGGTGTGCCGGCATCGGATGGCCCTCGTCGTTCATGATACACTGCAGCATCTTCTGTTGATGGGTGTGGACCCCGCTGTCAAACAGGAAGAACATGTCCCTTGGGTGCAAGGAAGTCTGCTGAGGATCACGGGTCTTCAGCACGCTGCTCAGGATGTTCTTGAGGTACTTCTGGTTGCATGGGGCCACCCTGGCGTGAGCCGCTGTGGCCGGCTCTCCGATGTGGGCTGGATCAACAAAGATGCCAACCCACGTTGTATCCTTGCCTCGAACTGCTCCAGCCGGCGAGTCTTTGATCTTGGTCACGAGCTCCTTTTCCTTCTCCTCAAAAACGTGCAAGGCCACGTTGGACTGCACCAGCATCCTTGCTTTCCTCTCGAAGACCTGCAACGCCTTGATCTTCTCACCGTCCAAGCTCTGGATGCCCCGGCTCTTCACGAAGTCCTGCACTGCCGCTGACTGCGTCTCCAAGCTCTCCTGAACGAGCTGCTCTGCTGAGGGCACGGCTTAATTTGAGCCACCCGCGGCTGCTGGGTTACTTTCAGCTAGAGCAAGCCTCTCTTGCTCCAGGAGATCTTTGACCTCCTTGGACGCCTCACCGAGCTTGCTTTCCGAATCCAAGCAGTCTTCAACCGACTTGGCCTGTCTCAGGCTTGCCCGCATGCTCTCATGATACTTCATGCTGAAGATCGCATCTCCGAAGAAGACGAGCACCCCGTCAGCTGCCGCAGTCCAGCCGGACTTCCAACCAAGAGACACGGCGTCCTGAGCCTGGCCCACCCCCACGTGGCTCCGGTATGCCTGGCAATCTGCGCAAGCACTTCTGATTTTGGCCCTCACATCATCGGTAAGTTGCTTGCAGATCACCGGCAGGAACTCACCTTGCTGGTTCTGAAACAGATGTCTATAATATAAAATCAGGCCTGAACCATTTTAGGCTTATGAATATATAAAAAAACGGGTTTAGGTTTAGGGTTTAGG